GCATGGAGCCTCATTATGGTTACCACAGTCACCTGCGCCCTCTACTGCAACAGCTCTACTAATACTACTCATTTAATATACTAGTGGTCATTGTATTAGTTGTATTTGCAGTAATTGGTAATGTTGCAGTACTAGAAGTAGTTATAGCAGTAGTAATGGTGGTATAGTAGTAGTAGTAGTAGTAGTAGTAGGAGTATTAGAGTATTGGTTGGCAGAAGTAGTCTTAAGTAGTAGAAGTATGAACAGGAGGTAGGATTGAGTCATTTCTGCACTGACAACTGTTTTAGCAGCAGTCGAGTTGTGTTTTGTTTCGTTCACATGTTTGAGTAACTCTTTACTGTCTGCATCTCCAAAACTCAAAATGCTCCGTTCCTCCTTGTGATGTCATGTAGTGGTAGTTTTCAAGTTAACAGCTTAAGTTAAAAACATCACAGAGCACTTCCTGTATTACCAGATGACATCACAAGGTGGAACATAGTATTTTCAGTTTGAGAGAAGAACTCAGCCTGAATATCCACCGTTTGTGTGTTAAACATGTGAATGAAACAAACACAGCTCCAGGTGTGTGTGTGATGATGAAACAACATTAGAACATGGATCAGAAGTGAGTGTATCATGACCCTTTAAACATGAGCCTCAAGATCTCACACAAAACTACTACTAATAAAAATAATAATACATCAGTTTTATACAATGCTTTTCTGGACACTCAGAGACTTCACAGAGCTTTATTCATTCACTTCAGACCCGGAGGTGGTAAACTACTATTATAGCCACAACTGCCCTGGGACAGACTGACAGAAGTGAGGCTGCCAATCTGCAGCATCGGTCCCTCCGACCACCATCACTCACGCAGCACAGTGTTGGGAAGGTGACTTTTAAAATGTATTCCCCTACAGATTACAGATTACATACCCCAAAATGTAGTTTGTAACTTAATCCATTAAATTACTTAAAGTGAGTAATGTAATCTGAATACTTTGGATTATTTGATTTGCTGTAGAGAAGCAAAGACTCGGATATCTTCACTTCAGATGTTTTGTCTTTACTTAACCAAATAAAAAATATTATTGATAGAAGACGAGGAGACACGGTCCACGCAGTCCTGTTAGTAATGTTAATCCTGGTTTAGACCTGGTTTTAGTCCTGGTTTTAGTCCTGATTTAGTCCTGGTTTAGACCTGGTTTAGACCTGGTTTAGTCCTGGTTTTAGACCTGGTCCGGCAATAAGTGGAAATGAATGAAAAATATAAAGATAAATATAAAGATATAGCCCAAAATATAAAAAGAGGAAAATAGTGTAATCCACTTATTTCAACAAAGTAACTGTAATCCAATTACCACTCACTGAAACAGTAACTGTAACTGAATACAGTTACTCATAATTTGTACTCTGATTACATAACTCCAGTACATGTAATCTGTTACTCCCCAACACTGCTCATGCACACACCACTTTCATACTTGGCAGTGTGGGTGAAGTGTCTTGCCTAAGGACACAATGACAGTTTTTGTGACTGGCGCCCCCCCTGTGGCTCCTGATTTTCCCAGTGGTCTCCAAGTCCTGACCAGGCCCGACTCTGCTGAGCTTTTCAGATCTGACAGGATCAGACTTTGACAAGCGGTGTGGCCATAAAAGTCATACCAAACCATAAAACTGTAAATGTTCTGTTTAAATGTAAGAGGATTTCACCAAAACAAACCACAGAGGAGAAACAGACTGGACTCCCACTTTAATAAGATCTGTGTTTTTCTGTGGTCTGTGGAAGAGCGGATCACATGAGTTATGTAATAAAGAACAGCAGAGGGGACGGGGCTGGGAGGGGGCGACAGTGGTTTACATACACTGCAGTGTTTACCATATAACAGGAAGATAGCCGGTTCAATTTCACTTCAGATTAGTGGATGCTGTTGTTAGGTCCATGGGCAAGACACTTTACCCACATCGCTTTTGTAGGATGTGTTTGTGTGCACTGACACTTAACCAAGACAAAACCTTGTGTGAATTCAGACTTGAATAAACCAGGACTAAACCAGGACTAACCCTGGTTTTACAACAGAAGTCCAAACTAGGTCTGAAGGTTCTAAACCCTAACTAGAACAAAGCAAGACTAAACCAGAGAGAGTCCAGGAAACAGTCTAGAGGAAGAGGAGAGGAAGTGAGGAGAGTGCATTTTAGAGCCACAACCTGTTTCCTGTTGTCAAAACAAGATTAAAAATCAACCACAGAAAGAGAAGTTCAGATTTTAGCCCTGAAAGCATCAAACAGCATCACAGTGTGTGGAATCTCACGGGAATATCAACATTATCCAAATGAAGAGAGAGATGGAGCTCTGCACACAGCACCTCAGGCCGAACTCTATGTAACACTATTTCTAACTCCAGTGTGAGAGAAACCATGAGGATCAATGAGCAGATTTAACACAGACACAGACACACATGTGAAATAAACATGTGTTGTAAAATAACATCATCATAATGTAATGTTACTACAGTTTTTGTACTTGTATCACTCTGTGACTACACTGCTGGTGTGATCTCTAAACAGAGAGGTCATTATTCACACTGACAGAGGCTCAGGGTCAGAGCACACAACACTAGTCCACTGACCTGAACGCACCACGACCAACTCCTGCTCAGACCAAGTTCTGTTGTTCACCTGGGTTCACTTCACCCAAAGAGCTCAGGATAAATGTGATATGTGTGTGCTGGTGGAAGCCTTGATTGTGTCAGTGTGCCCCAAGGCAGCTGTGGCTCTAAAAGGATCTCACCAGCTCAGAGTGTGGAGTGAGTGAAGTGTAGTACTACACTGTAGTACTACACTGTAATACACTGTAGTACTACACTGTAGTACTTTGAGAGGCTTGGAGCCTGTAAGGCACATTAAAGTTTTGAGGTTATCTCACTTTTTAGTTTTTCCTCAGTAACAATCCTGAGACAGTGTCGTGGTACTTTTGGATTACAGGTCAGTGTTATTTTGTGACCATGTAACATCATTTACATAATTATGCTTTATATACTGTATATTTACTTCAACAGACTTACTGTGACAAAGATCTCCTTTGTCCCTGTTACTCATTTTCATTTCACATCTGTTCATTTATCCACTATCAACTAAACCACTAAATACAATTATTCCAGATTTGTTTTAATTTGTTTTTTTGTTTAGTTCCTTTGAGTTAATCACAACAAACGCAAGTTACTTTAAATATATTTGATTTGGTTACATCTCCTCAGTTTGGACATTTCAGACACTTCCCAGCTCACCTGTTCCTCCACCTGGTCTGGAGACAAATGAGGAATTGGTTTCAGTTCTTTTTTGTTTTATGGATTTTGTATATTTGATTGAGATATTTCTGTGTTTATAGTTTATGTAAAGCACTTTTCTGTAAAGGGACTTAGGCCCTTGTAACTAATGAAATGGTTCACTTTAGAGACAACTGAAGTTGTCATGATATCTAACCTAAAATCAGTTCAGTTCAGCCTCTCAAGAGGATCACCTCAGTGTAGTCGGGTACACGTATTTTATTTTATTTATTTTTTCCTTAGTTTCATTCTGTTGCTTTCATCTTGATTTGAGTATATTTATTTTTTTCTAAATATGTATTATTTCTTTTTTGCCACAATGCCACGGTGAACTTGAATAAATATTGTTGGTGAACTGGAGTCTGTCTCGTGCTTGTGACCACACTGGCAGATTCCCCACACGTAATAAAAAGCTGATGTTAAAACTATAAACAGATCCTGGATTATGAATCTGTCCCAGTGGATGTGACACAACTGAAACTGCTGCGGCTTAAATCAGTCTAAAACTATAGTCTGCTCTGTCCCTGCACACGGCCCCTTCACATGTCTCTGCACACGGCCCCTTCACACGTCTCTGCACACGGCCCCTTCACACGTCTCTGCACACGGCCCCTTCACATGTCTCTGCACATGTCCCTGCATATATCTTTGCACACGTGCCTGCACACGGCCCCTTCACACGTCTCTGCATATGTCTTTGCACACGTCCCTGCACACGTCCCTGCACACGTCTCTGCATATGTCTCTGCACACGTCCCTGCACACGGCCCCTTCAAACGTCTCTGCATATGTCTTTGCACATGTCCCTGCACACGTCCCTGCACACGTCTCTGCATATGTCTCTGCACACGGACCTTCACACGTCTCTGCATATGTCTTTGCACATGTCCCTGCACACGTCCCTGCACACGTCTCTGCATATGTCTCTGCATATGTCTCTGCACATGTTCCTGTGTGTACCTGCACATGTCCCTGCACACGGCCCCTTCACACATCTCTGCATATGTCTTTGCACATGGCCCCTTCACACGTCTCTGCATATGTCTCTGCACATGTCCCTGCACACGTCCCTGTGTGTCTCCTGACTGTGGGAGAGTGTGTGTGTGTTTCTTCTGTTCTTCACTTAAACAGATTTCACTCTGGTTCAGTCCAACACTGAGCCTGTGAGAAAAGAACACTTGTGTGTGTGCATCTCATTTACTGTAACCTCAAACTCTCACACAGACTGAGTTACAGGTCAGAGCTGTGGAGAGGCGACCCCCGCTCACAGTAAGAATGTGAATATTTTTAGGTCTTTGTATCAAATATCTTTAATTGAATAAACACAAGTTAGACATGTTTAAAGTGATACTGTGGAACAATGTAGTAGTGCCCTTCAAAATGTAAACCTCTAAAAACAGCAGACCCTCGATATCCACCTGGGCCCTGCACCACAGTTTGAGAACCCTGCTGTAGCTTTCGTCTTTGTGGTTGCCCTTTCACTTTACAGAAATCTGCCAAATCCAGTGTAAAGCTGCTGCTCTAAAGCCAGACTGTGAGAGAGTGACAGGTCTTTCCTCAGCGCTAAGTGAAAGTGCAGGCTCCGTGTTGGCGGAGTGCTCTGTGATGTAGGTGTAATGTGAATGACGTACTCTGGGAATAATGCCTTTGATTGTGTTTGATTGTGTTTGATTGTGTTTTTATTGTGTATTTCAGGTCTGTGTGGCGGATACAACTTTGATACTAAAAACATCCGGATCTTCGAGGGCTCCAGGGACACACAGTTTGGGTACACGGTGCAGCAGCACGAGGCGGGTGGCAGGAAATGGTAACAAACTAATACACTTGTTTTTCATGTACTTAAGTGAAATGTGCTTTAACCGAGTACAGATATATCGTAAAAGCAGCTCTTAGGTCAAATTTTAGGGCCAAAGTTTTATCGCCTGTGAACTAGAAAGTGCACTTCCTGGTTCACAAATGATATTACCTTGATGACAAAATTCTTCTCTGGTATGTGACAGTTCTGAAAAATGCTTATAAACTCATCATGGTGAATAATGAGGATGCCTGGAATGTGTTTGGAGCATTGTTAATAAATTCTAATGAGCGAGTTCTGTTTTTGCTGTTTTTTAAGAGGGGAAAAATCACAAAATCACGTACAGCTCCTTTAGTTGCCTGACTGAAAACTGGTCACCTTTTGCAAACAAAACACAGAAGTGGATAAATGAGTGTGACGTCACCCACAGCATTCGGCTCCAGTCAGTCAAGTGAAGCTCACCGAGGCCGGATGTTATAGGAGGGAATTTAGATGTTAATAGGAATTTATTTACAGGCAAAGTAGTGAAATAAAAACACCAGATGTAGAGTGCATAAATACAAACATTTTAAGATCAGTAGAAAGTGAATTGGAGCCGGAAGCGTGCCCGTGCTCACTTCCTGTTTTGAGTGCAGCGACTAGCAGGTTAGCCATGTCCATTTCTATATACAGTTTATGGTGAAAATCTGCAGTTACATTTCATCCCTTTTGCTGCAGAGCTAAACAGAAAACAATTGATGGTGTCATTCTTGTTTTAATAAAAATAATAATGGAACAAACCAGTGGAGGAGCGTGCATTTCACAGCTAGGCCTTCAGTAGTGCTCCGTCTGAAACAATGCACTCCTCAAGAACTATTTTAGAGTTACATTATACACAGTATAAAGAGCCGTGGAGATTTCATGCATGGAGAAGTGAGGAGAGGGGGATGTGCGGTGTGTGGTGTTAAACCAGGACTGTCTGTCGGGATGGGCCCAAAGGTGCACCTACGTGGACTCTCGGGTGACCGCAAACGAAAGGACTGCGCCGGGGCCCCAATCGGGCTTTGCAGACTCTCTCTCTCTCTCTCTCTCTCTCTCTCTCTCTCTCTCTCTCTCTCTCTCTCTCTCTCTCTCTCTCTCTCTCTCTCTTGCGCTCTCTCACTCAAGTCCAAGATTAGTCCTGGTGTAATCCTAGTTTAGTCCTGGTGTAATCCTAGTTTAGTCCTGGTTTAGTCCTGGTTTAGTCCTGGTTTAGTGCTGATTCTGCTACAGATGCAGTTTGTTGTTTTGGCTGGTTCACTCTCTGACTGTCCAATCAGCTGTTCTGAATCTGGTGACGTCGTTCGCTGCTAAAGTTCCTGGTGACACCAACTCAAAATCTGATTGGTTGAAGCAACAGTTTCATGGACATTTATTTTGTGTTCGAGTTCCTCCAGAACAGATTGTGACGGCCTCAGGCACACTTCTTTGACATTGACTCTGCCTAGCAACAAGTGACGGCTGAAATGTGATTGGTCAAATTCTTTAAGATGAAAATCCATGTGTGGAAGCAGCACAAACATCGGAAAAGCTCTGAAAGGAAGCGGACAGAACATTTGGAATTATTTAATAATAATTAACATCAGTCTGTGATTCAGATATTTTTTTTAGGCCAGCAGAGAAGGACTTACTGGACCTGACGTCCCAACACTGGAACACACCCTCTTCCTCTCGTGACTCAGTAACACAGCATTCACCTTCAAACTCAGAGGTTGCTGGTTCTATCTCAGCTTGAATCAGTATATATTGTTGTAAATGAGTGTGACTGTGTGATTGGTTTTGGTTCAGGAAACTGTAGGTGCAGAGTGACACCCACCTCCTGTCACTCTGTCCTTGGAATGTGCCGATACCGATACTGGTATTGAATATTGGTGGAAATACTGAAAAATTAGCTGGATTGGGTATCGGTTCAGCTGATATCCTGGTTGGGCAATGAATTATTAGTAATGAAACCATTTACAGGCTGATTTTGTTGCAGAACATCTCATAATGTTTTATTCACCCAAAGCTATTCCAAGCTATTCCATAGTAATGTGAAGGAGAAATAACAGTTACATAACACTACTGGATCTCTGTGTAATCAGTGAACTGTGTTTCTGTTCCTACGCTCATATCGGCCGGTATCGAGTATCGGCAGAAACATAAAGTCAAAGTATAAATTTCAGTATTGGAACTAAAAAAGCTGGATTGGTGCATCTGTCCCAGGGCAGCTGTGGCTACATAACGGGCCTGTCTGTAGTGAATGTGAGTTAGGAGTAAAGGTTTTATGAATGGAAACAAAAAGAAAATCCATTTGGGTTTTGTCTAATAAAAGGACAAGCCCACAAAAACAAACACAAATAAATGATAAACGAGATAGTGACTGACTGGACTGACTGTCCACTGTGTCTCTGTACTTCAGGCAAATAAGTCCTTCCTGATTTTGTGACATCATTTCCCCATTCAAAACATCAGATTTGAAGAGTTCATTTGCAAAACAAACAAACAAACAAACAAAAAACATAAATGGTCACTGATAACATCTGTAACAAAAAGAAAAATACTTTTTGATAATTTTTCAAAATACAGATATCTGTTTTTGCAATCGAGCTCTTCATTTTTATTTTAAATTGCATTATTCTATAACAATAAAGGACCGTTTGTATAAAGTTTATTTTAAAGGTGCACTAACTTTTCATTCTTGTTTTTATGCACATGTCTCTGCTATGCTTGGAATGTTCCACAACAGTTCTGCCTTACATTGATTCAATTACAGGTGGTTCTACAGCTCAAAAACACCCCAAAAAAACAGGCATTCAGATTGTAAGTGGGGTCGCCATTCCATAGATCTGACCTGTAAACTTGGTCTGGTGTTATCTCCATTAAGATATAAATCTTTAAAGCCATAATGTAAAACATTCCAGACAAAGTAATAACATCTCCATGGAGAAAGTCGTTTGATGGACCCTCCACGAGAAAAGTGACACAATGCACCTTTAAATCTGCCATTTCTCTGTGACTCTTTAGAAAATTCCATCTTGTTCAGAGTGTGTGCTGTTGCCGTGAGACCTGACGGCACATTTTTCCAGAGTTTGAAATGGGCTGGTGTTTTTGCGCTGTCTCTTTGCTATAAATTAACTTTCATATTTTTCCTTTGCACACATGGATCGGACTGTCCTTGGCCGAGCTCACTCCTCCTCTCAGGTTTCTGTACGAGGGAGAAGACATGTCCAAATATGCTTTGTTTTTCTACCTGCCGAGATGGGTGTCAGAACGGGTTAAATGGAACAAAATAAGGTGGGAACGGATCTGAGATATGGAAGTTCTTCAAATGTTGATCAACCATAACAGTATGAGTGACAGGTGAACTCTCCATCTACACTGCTGTTTCAGAGCTCTTATATAAAGCAAAATGGACTCTTGTGAGCTTTAAGACATGTTATAATGTCATGAACAGACCTGGAGCTGTGTTTTTTGCCATTCATACATGTTTGAATTATTCATTATTATTACAGTATTATTACTGTCTACATCTCTGTTCCACCTTGTGATGTTATAAAGTTGTAGTTTTCAAGTTAACAGCTCCTTATTTTTTTATGTTTTGCTCAGTATAGAAATTATACAAGTGATTTTAATGAAAGTGACATCACAAGGTGGAACAGTGTTTTCCATTTGAGAGAAACTCATTCTAAATTTACAGGGTTTGTGTGTTAAACTTGTGTGAATGGAACAGAACACAGCTCCAGGTGTGTTTGTGATAGACAGAGATCAGACAACAGTGTGATATGAGCCTTTAAATATCCTGCTGTAACAATAAGAGGACGTCCAACAGTGTTTGGTTATCAGTAATCTGAAATGTCTCCTGAACAGTTCCGTCTGATGTGAGTAATCTGATTTCTTTCTGACTGTCACACCTGTGCTGGTTCTGCAAAAGGACAAACTCCTGACATCATCTTAATGATTCAAAGAGTTATTTTAACTTCCACTGTATTTGGTCCACACATATACCTATACTCTATACCAGAGGTTTTCAATAGGTGAGGCCACTGGGGAGGCGTGACACACAGACTAAACCAGGGCTGAACCAGGACTGAGTGTCAGGACGGAGGGGGGAGGGTGACTACAGGCAAAAGAACCGTCGCATAGCTCCACGCCTCCTGGGGATAAGCATGGCTGAAAAGTCACCTCAGTTACGCCTGCATGAATTGTTATCAGTTGTTATTGAAACTCGATGCTTTTACTTCTGTGGCCTGTGTGGACCATACTAGTTGGTTTTACACGTCCCTTTAAACGACCATAAGAGTAGTTTATTGACCAGTAGACGGCTCTCCTGGCCCCTCACCTGCGTGTGTTCAGACTCACCTGTGCTCTCTGCTCTTCTTCTATTTGGTCAAAGCTGGTTCACATATCACCACCTGATGCAGTAACACAGGCAGCACCTAGTGGTGATATGTGAGATTACAACACGATCAGTCTTATTTCAAACTGGGACTTTAAAGTTTGATTAATTGTGATGCCAGACGATGAGCCGGGTTGCTGGTTGTTGAGTCTGGTAGTTGAAGATCAAACCCAGAAGCTTCTGACTGTGAGGCAGAGTCTGTGTGCCACACTGTGCCCCGCACACACATGTGAACCCGAGCTTACATAACCTGACTGTGAGTCTGAGCGCACATATTAGCCCCTGTGTCTCCTCTTATTTATTGTGTTTTGCATTCCTCAGGCGGCTGTGGTTTTACTGATGCTCACACACACACACACTCACACACACACACACACATTCACACACTCACACACTCAAACCCACACACACACACACACTCACACACTCACACACCACACACACACACACACACACACACACACACACATTCACACACTCACACACTCACACCCACACACACACACACACACACACATACACACACGCACACACACACACTCTCACACACACTCACACACACACACACATTCACACACACACACACACACTGACTCACACACACACACTCACACAC